CAAAGCTTTCTTTCTCAGAATGCTTTTGAGTCCTGTGACTGTGGCATAAATATTGTGGTGGACAGCAAGGTGTAAAAAATGACCAAATGTGACAGCCAGATAGTCGAAAACCCTTTACTTTACTTTTTGCATTGATACTCTGTCTTAATACAGATAGTCTTCAATACAAACATAATTGAGCCAATAATTATGACTTAAAGTCATTCCAGTCCTTAAACAGGTCGCTATGTGACTGTGCCCGATTTTATGACTTTTTTGTGGCCATTGTTATGTGAACATGGCAGTCATAAAGCGAACCCCATTTTGCTAAGGTAAATGTTGCAGTTGTTAAACAAATGCCTTGTCCTCAATGGACTTTTTTATTTTATTTTTTGCTGGAAAAAAATGGAAATAAATGCCAGTTTCCTGCAAAAACAATCCTTCATAAATTGTGGTCACTGCGGGATACTGCAAATGGCCCTAAATGCAGGGCAGTTGTTCAGCACACAAAATGCAATCGCATGATTGCAGGAGAGTGACAGCCATCAGTATGTCAAATCTGGGTCTTACGTAACCCTTGGGCAGGTCGGTTGTAACTTCAAATGGTCATTAAATGACTAGTTATAAGTCAAGGGCTACCTGTAAAGTTGCAGGTGATGCTGTGGCTCAAGTACAAAAGGGCACAGCTCATATTTCACCAGTTTGGCCTATCATGGTTAGAAACAGGTGCTCATGGTCAGAGGCATTCTTAGAAAAAACCTTAAGAGTTTTCTTTAACAGCTAGAATTTAGTCCCACCTGTCTGGAAAAGAATGAGGCGAGCCAAGGTGGTGATAGAGAGAAAAATTGCTGCTTCTTATGTAAATGTTTTATATATGTACCCAGAATGCATCAGCAAGAGCCAGTTTGGTGTAGTAGTTAAGGCATCAGGCTAGAAATTGGAAGACTGCATTCTAACACAAAGCTAGTTGGGTGACTTTGGGCCAGTCCCTTTTTCTCAGCCCTAGGAGGGAGGCAATGGCAAACCACTTTTGAAAAATGTGAAGGGCTGCAGGGACTTGTCCAGATAGTCTCTGAGTGGATATGACTGAATAGGGGGAAACTAGAATAACACCATATACTTTCAAAATCCATAATGTGCCCATTGACCCCAACCATTGGGTTGTTCTGTCTCAGAATACAGTTACTTACTGCAGTGAAGGGTTTCCTAGTGAAATAAAGCAGAGTAATATTTAGCACCACTTCTTATTCAGATATGATATCATTCTAAGATCAATGTAAGCACACAACCAAAGAACATATAAGCTGACCACATGAATGAAGCTTGTCTAGTGAAAAAGGGATTTCTGTCCAAGAATAAAAGAAATAAACCCAAGGCATATACCAGCCTGAGTGGCATGCAGCTCCAAGTGCGTAATAAATTAGTGGGATACTAGATTAAAAGGAAGATTTGCATTTCTATTGTATGAGCTTTCTGTATTTGCTTCAGAAATAATATGGTCTCCAGGATGAAAATAGTTACAAGCCAGCTCCCTTGGTGCCAGCAAGATTGTAAATAAGATATTTTCTCTTTCAAAGTACATGGTTTAATAAGGCAATTTAAAATTTTGCTACTGTGCAGCTCGCCCACTGTATGAATGTGCAAGAAAAAATAAATATTATGTGCTAATAAGGGCTACCTTCCTTCTTACCTCTAAGCCCCAGAGGAGAGTCTAATCACAGAGAATTGAACAGGGAGATGCTTAGAGTCTGTTTCCAAATTGCACTGTCTGCTGTTTCGTAGAAAAACCATGCAGATAACAAGGCCTGGCTTGGTGCTTGTGTTAAATTTTGTTCCTTTCCTAAGCAGCCTTCTGTGTAAAAAAAAAAAAAAACATTCTTGCAGCTCTCTCCCATATATGCATATCTACCTTAAGATAAGAGTAAGAATAGTTTGCCAGGAGGCTGGGATGCCCATGAAGGCATTTGGAGTTGAGAAAAATATGGGATTATGGCAGTCAAAAATAGCCCTCAAAAGGGCTTTAGGGATTTGCCTGTCACACATATGGTGTTTCCTTTCCAGTCTCCCAAATCCAGGACTGGGACTAGTGTTCTAAATGTGAATAAATGAAATATATATATATAGCTGAGCAGCAGAGAACCATGCTTCTCTAGCTCACAAAACACATCCAACACCACTTTCTGGAATATTTGATGGGGCTCAGAATTTGAGAGAAACTGTTTAACATAAGGCTCTGCATCCAACTCCAAACAAGTAGCCAAATCCAGTATACCAAGATAACTGCTGGCTTAGTCTGAACTGGAAGGAGGAAAATAAAATATTAACACTTTCCTCCATGTTGGCATTATATAACTCTGCATATCTTTTGCCCAGACCTTTACGAAAGAGCCAAGAAATCCATGTTTTGAACAAGCCCTTTGCCTTGCTCTAGTTCAGGACTTCAGTTTTTAAATGCAAAATAAAACAAGAGTCATTTAGGTTCACTATAGAATTAAAATGAACTTTTTTTTTTTTTTTTTTTGAGAAATGGGGTTTATTTATTTAGCATATGGCAAATACATGGACTTACATAGTGGTTCAAATGTTAATGTCCAGTCCACCCAGCCATTCAAGGACAGGATGGTCTATGTTGAAAAAAAATCAGACATTGGGCTGGTGTAAGTTCTTGATGGATATTCAGACACAAAGTAATGGGAATGAGAATGTGAGAACACAATGAGAAATGGGAAATAATCCCACACTCAGTCTTGGTCAGTGGTTTAAACTCCACTGATTTGGGTAGCATTTAAGCAACCCGATTTAAAACCCAGAAAAGGATTGTAGCCCTGACATGGACTTGCAATGGCTAAGTGCTATTTGTCTCTGCTTTCCGTTCCTGGCATAGGAAGTGGTTGTTCACTGATGTGGCAAGTGCATTTCCAGCAGCAGCGAGAGCTGAAATAGCATTACTAGTTCAGCCCTTCAAGGCATGGCAGCTCCATAGGGTTACAGCGATCTTGAAGGTCATCTGCTCTTATACTTCACTTGATGACTAGATTTTCAATATCAAATCATTCCCAAGAGGAAGAAAGAAGGTACCTGAAAAATGCAGGATGATCCTCCAGAATATACATAAGGTCAGAATATAGGTGTAGAAGGAGTCCCACAGTCATAGTAACCAAGGTTCAAGTGATGCCTGCCCATACAGCAAGGCAACCAAATCCCATTTAAATGAGCTAAGAGGCATAAAGTACTTCAAGAAGATCCTAACTGTGTGTGCAGGTGCATCTTTTTCTAGGATGTGATTTGATGTTGCTTTTGCTCCTATGAATTTTAGGAAGACTTTGCCCCACCAGCCTCTGGCAAATGCCAGCTTAATTCATTGTCAGTTACATTCCAGAGGTATCAAGAGAGCAGACTGACTGTCCAGTTTTTTGTGGTGAAGTGTTGCACTGGAGGCAAACAGGTGAAAAGGCACAGTTTATAGGAACACTTGAAAACCAATCAAGAGATTTAAATGTGCACAAAAGGTGCTTTAAGGCCGGACTTGACTGTCTAATGCTCCCATTCCCCAAAGCTCTCGGCAATTGCAGAAACCTAGAGTGCTGAAATGCCATCAATCAAGTTGACCCAGTTCAGCATTATAAATTATGTTCAAATAAATTCAGTTAGTCTCAAACACAAGCTAACATATTTTTCTTTTTTTCTTTTTTTAAAGTATGTTGGTAAAAGCCTAAATGTAACTGTGAAGCTACAGATATGAACCATTTAAACAATAAAATATCAACTGACCCCAAGTGGGACTGGACAGTTTGGGGTCTGTTAGTGTTTCATATCCTCTCTGCAGAGTTTGGCCTGGACACTTCAGACCTCACTACATTATCAATCAGTAAATTGAGAACTGGATTCTTTTGCCTTTTAACGCTGAAGTGTTAATATTATGATATTTCTAAAATTCAAAACACTACCTGCATGTTTATAATACTTGTTTCATCTGAACACCTTTCACTAGAGGTGAGGAAACCGATAAACCAAGATGGGCATATAAAATATGTAGATGGCTGCACCCCTTTTATCAGAGCAAGTGATAAAACATTGAACGGGATCATATGCTGTGCTTTGCTGTGCTGGAAACCAGGAACGTTGTGTTTGGCTTCTCTTGCTGTAGCAGCCGTTTTGTGGAGCCATTTTGTTCATGGGGTTCTATAGAAATGGACCTCTCTGTGTATGTTTATTTTTCTATGTTGCTTGGTAAAATCACTATTCATACAAGGGGTCTATGGAGATTGTCAGTCATCCAGGTCATGGTTGTCCCAAAGATGCTTTTTCAGGAGGCAACTGAACTTTCTCGTTTTTCTTTGAAGACATTTCCCTTTCTCATCCAAGAAGCTTCTTCAGCTCTGACTGGATGATGGGGAACTGTCTGCAAGGAGTATAACTTCTTCTGTTCCTCACCATCCAGTCAGAACTGAAGAAGCTTCTTGGATGAGAAAGGGAAACATCTTCAAAGAAAAACAAGAAAGTCCAGTTGCCTCCTGAAAAAGCACCTCCGAGACAAGGGCTGTAGGGTTGATAGTTCTGCAATTCCTCGGTTGTTATTCCTCAATTGTATGAAGCACAAGAACACCATTATCTTAGCACAGGGCACTGCATCCTCCAAGCCTTTGGGTGTGCCTTTGCTCTCCTCAGCTACCACTGATTTTCTGGCAACAGGCTGGTTTAAAAGTTTGCTACGATAGTAAAGCATTGCTTTACTACTGCTGATTTGTCATTAAATTGTTAAGGCAATGGGAAGAAAGAGGATATGATCTAGTAAGCAAATCTTATCAACTCTGCCTTGAGTTTTAGGATTAGTTCTGACAATGGTAAAGAAGCTCCCAGCACTGCAAAAACAGGCAGTGGATGGCCTGCTTTTTATTCTGTCTGGTTGTCTGATATATTTATGGATGTTACAACTTACATGACTAGACATTGCCTGGCATTTCACAGCACACTGTTTATTGATCTTGACAATTTTATTTATCCTTGATTTTTTTTTCCAGCCAGAAGAACTCACCAATGCTCTGGAAATCAGCAATATTGTGTTTACTAGCCTCTTTGCCCTAGAGATGCTTCTGAAGCTTCTGGTGTATGGCCCTTTTGGTTACATCAAAAATCCCTACAATATCTTTGATGGAATCATTGTAGTGATCAGGTAATTAAAACCAAGTTTTCTTAATTATGATAAGTAGTTGCAGGTCTATAACATTTAATCCAAACATTTTAAACTGATTTCTTCCAACTGGATTGTGCAATAAAACTGGTAAAAAAAAATTAAACAAGGGTTGAAATATTTTTTTAATATATTCATTTTTTTACTCACACCTTGTTTATAGTATGTTCTCTGGAACTGCTGACAATTCTAAGAGTTATAATCCATTTGAAGGATGTTCAGTCAAAATAAACTACTTTATGACAATACGTATGGTTATATTTACATACAACCATACTAACTGGCTTCTTGTTTTGATGAGGAGTCATAACGTCTAATACAGGGGTGCCCAACCCCCAGTCCATGGACCGGCACAGGTCCATAGCATGCCAGAAACTGAGCCATGCAAACAAGCAAAGCCCCGTTTGGGGATGCAGACAGCACATGAAACCATGCCCTCTCTGGTCTGCAGAAAAACCCATCTCCACGGAACCGGTCCCTGGAGCCCAAAAGGTTCCAGAGCCCCTAGTACAGAGGGGTTATTCAGTGTAATCCACCCATCACTATGGTTTTCTTTGCAGATAGCAATCACTATAAATAACAGCCCTGGCGACAGTACTTGCTTATTTTTTTATATCTAGCTGGCCACTTGCACATCACTTTACGAAAGGATGAAAGATAAAAATTTTATCTGCCAGTGTAAGAGAAATTATTCAGCATTGAACAATGATTATAATTGAAGTAGAAAAAAATATGGCTCTCCAGAATGAAGACTACAATAACAATGGCACTTAGACTTATATACCGCTTTGCCCTCTCTAAGCAGTTTAGAGAGTCAGCATATTCCCCCCCCCCCCCCCCCCCCCCCGCCCAACAATCTGGCTCCTCATTTTACCCACCTTGGAAAGATGGAAAGCGGAGTCAACCTTGAGTTGGTGAGACCCGAAATCCTGGAGCAAGCAGTGAGTTAGACTGCAGTACTGTATTCTAGCCCCTGTGCCACACAGCTCTTTGCATGTCTGCTCAAAGTGTTGTCCAAATGATAGCTATTGTCGATGGATACTGTAAGATAGCAGATCCCAACCTTTTTGATAGCAGGGATTGGGTTTGTGGAAAACAATTTTTCCACAAATTGGGGGGGGGGCGGAGGAGCACGCAAACTAGAGCCTGCACATGAAGTTTCACTTACCCACTGCTCACCTCCAGCTGTGTGTTTCCCGATTCCTAACAGGCCACAGACCAGTGCAAGTCCATGGCCAAGGGATTGAGGGGCCCTGCTATATGACTATTGCCTTCTTACAATTCTTTATTTTAAAAGCACATTTGGTTCTCCAAGTAAGGGCTGCTTCAATAAAGGACTGTACTGTACTCTGTAAATCAGGACATATGAATTCCTCATTAACATGAATTCCCTGAAGAAAACTCAGGGCAAATTATATGTAGTTTCTATTTGCAGAATTCCAACAGAAGAAATCCATTAACAATGTTCCCCATGCAACATTTATCCTCAGAGCACCTCTGTATCTGCTTTTCTACTTCGATGCATTTTTAGGGCACATAACAAAATCTGTTTGAGTGCATACAGGAATTAAAAAATAGCAACAACTATGAATGCATTTCCTTGTTTGTTGTTGCCCCCCCCCCCCCCCCCGATATCCTAAAGCCATTCAAAACATTGAAATGTATGCAGTTCTTGACTGGGAGTATTTGTAAGATTCAGATCTTTCTCTCAGAGATTTCCAACTTTTCATCTGAATATTCTCAGTTAAAGAACATGAGCAGAAAAAGCCCTGTCAGTGAGTAAATGGCCATATACAACATCTTGCTGGGCTCTGTTTCCCTTTGGCGGTTAATTTTTTTAAAAAATTCTTTATGATTGAAACCAATGGAAGAAAATTAATGAATGCTATCCAACTAATTATTGATTTGGGAGATAAGCAGAAAACCAGTCTGATTTTTGAGCTGGTGGAGCTACAGCCCTCCCACAATACTGCCAGCATTACTCTTTTAGAATAGAATAACAGAGTTGGAAGGGACCTTGGAGGTCTTCTAGTCCAACCCCCTGCTCAAGTGGGAGACCCTATAGCATTTCAGACAAATGGTTATCCAATTTCTTTTTAAAAACTTCCAGTGTTGGAGCATTTACAACTTCTAGAGGCAAGTTTGTTCCACTGATTAATTGTTCTAACTATCAGGAAATTTCTCCTTAGTTCTAAGTTGCTTCTCTCCTTGATTAGTTTCCACCCATTGTTCTTGTCCTACCCTCGGGTGCTTTGGAGAATAGCTTGACTCCCTCTTCTTTGTGGCAGCCCCTGAGACACTGAAACACTTAACGTGCCACCTCTAGTCCTTCTTTTCATCAAACTAGACATACCCAGTTCCTGCAACCGTTCTTTATATGTTTTAGCCTCCAGTCCCCTAATCATCTTTGTTGTTCTTCTATGCACTCTTTCTAGAGTCTCAACATCTTTTTACATCATGGTGATCAAAACTGTATGCAGTATTCCAAGTGCGGCCTTACCAAAGCATTATAAAATGGTATTAACACTTCACGTGATCTTGATTCTATTCCCCTGTTTTATGTCTTTCTTCAATGTCAGAGTTCCAATGTAATAAAGAATTGCCTTAAGATGCTCGGAGAGGAGAATTGCTAGTCTAGATTTCTCCCACCAAAGAGATATTTAAATTCAGAAGTAAAATTCTGAAACTGATGAATCCTATGATCACTAGGACAAACCTCCAAGAACAACAGACTTGTTATAATAATACAGGTAGTCCTTGACTTACGAACACAATTGAGCCCAACATTTCTCAGTTGTTAAGTGAGACAATTGTTAAGTGAGTTTTGCCCCATTTTATGACCTTTCTTGCCACAGTGAATCACTGCAGTTGATAAGTTGATAACATGGTTGTTAAGTGAATCTGGCTTCCCCATTGATTTTACTTGTCAGAAGTTTGGAAAAGGAGATCACATTACCTTGGGACACAGCAATGGCCATAAGTATGAACCAGTTGCCAAGTGTCTCAATTTTGATAACATCATGGGGATGCAGCAAAGTTTGTAAGTGTGAAAAATGGTCACAAGTCCCTTTTTTCAGTATCATTGTAACTTTGAATGGTCACTAAATGAATTGTTGTAAGTCAGGGGTGTCAAACTCGATTTCATTGAGGGCCGCATCAAGGTTGTGTTTGACTTCAGTGGGCCGGGATGGCATGGCTGGGGTGGGCATAGCCAGCTTGACATCACTCATGTCGGGAGGGCACCTGTGGTGGCCCGTGCACTCTGCCAGCGAAAACGGGCTCCCAAGCTCCGTTTTCAGCTGCAACAGCCTCCTGCAACCCTCTGCCAGTAAAAATGGAGCTCAGGAGGGCTGCAGGTGGTCTCCCAAGCTCCATTTTCTCTGGCAGAGGTACTGCAGGCCGGTCCTTCACTTCTTTTTCAGTCATGATGGTATCCTGCAGCCATTTGCCAGCGAGAATGGAGCTTGGGGGAGCTGCACACAGCCCTCCCAAGCTCTGTTTTCACTGGCAGAGGCACCACAGGCCAGTCCTTCGCTGTTTCCAGATTGGGCCAAGGCTGGCCAGATCTAAGCACCCCATGGGCCTTGAGTTTGACACGGGGTGGGATTCTACCAGTTTGGACAGGTTCGGGTGAACTGGATGTTAAATTTGCATCTGGTTCGCCAAACCGATATTTGAACCAACCAGCTGGCCCCGCCTACCCCTCCCCACCCCTCCCAAGAGTCTCCACATAGCCCATTTTCAATGCAGGTAAGTGCAGGTCCACACGGAGGGCCTGTTTCTGGCTTCCGGAGGGCATCCAGAGCCCGGGGGGAAGCCATTTTCACCATCCCAGAGGCCCAAGGGAAGCCTCTGGACTCTTGGGAAGGCGAAAAATAGCCGTCCCGTAAGTTCTGGTCGGCCACACCCACCCAGCAACTGGGCAGAAAACCGGTTGCTGGGATTTTTGAATCTCACCCCTGGTTTGACAGCCCTGTTGTAAGTCAAGGACTATCTGTATTTCCTCTCAAAAGCTAATTACATTAGCTTTACATTAATATTAAATATATATTCTCTTTTTTTCTTAGTGTGTGGGAGATTGTTGGACAGCAAGGTGGAGGCTTGTCTGTTTTAAGAACCTTCCGTCTTATGCGAGTTCTAAAACTAGTTCGGTTTATGCCTGCTCTTCAGCGCCAATTAGTGGTCCTCATGAAAACAATGGACAATGTGGCCACCTTCTGTATGTTACTGATGCTCTTCATCTTTATCTTCAGGTGAGTTGATAATTTAAAAAAACCCTCCTACCTGAGCATTGGGACTATTATCAGAGGCTCTAAGTGCTTTCATATGCTGCATTTTAGCGAGTGAGAGGAGACATTTTTGATGATACTCTCCAATGATGGAGGAATGCTTTCTTTAAAATAGCCTGGCAACTTCTATTTTATTTGGATGCCAGACAAAGACAAAGATATTTATAAAAAATAAAATTAAAAGTATCCAGCCTTTTAATTTTCCTGTATTTCTTAGATTATTTTGTTGAACTTAGTGATTTCCTTTTACAGTATTTTAATTGATTATTGTTTCATTATATTATGCTTTGGGTTTATTTGGTTTCTTGTTTGTTACTAAAAACCTTTTCCTATAGGGCAACTAGCACATTTTAGATATGAATAGATTAAATAATCATTTGTGATTATAGGTTTGTTATATTGCAACTTCTGTTTTAACATGAAATTATCCAGATTTAAAAGGGGAAGTAATTTCTGCTACAGCTCTGTAAATGTAAATCTGTAGCTATTCTTTTTTCATCTCTGTAGCTCTGTTAGAAGTGGTCAGAAATTGAAAAGAGATAAACCCTACTAAAAGCATTCAGATCCTAAAGAGTCTGATTCTTTTAGATATCTTTGTAAAGTAGAAAATTTAAAACCCACTGGTTTGGCTTTGTTCCCATATCCTGTGTGTTTTCATATTTTATATAAGCCATAATACAAGTTGCCATATATTTGCCATACCAAAGTTATTTTCTAACTTATTAAAACTGACCTTCATTTTCTTAAACGAGAGGGAACAGAATAGTAAGGAACGTGCTCCAAATATCCTTTAATTCCAAAGTCTAACTCTTTAATCTCTCTTTTAACCCATTTCTCCTTGTTATTCAGTATCCTTGGGATGCATCTTTTTGGGTGTAAGTTTGCCTCAGAGAGAGATGGAGACACTCTCCCTGACAGAAAGAATTTTGATTCCTTGCTCTGGGCCATTGTTACTGTTTTCCAGGTAATACATCAGTCACGGTCCATAGTTCTTCATCTTTATCTTTAAGTGCCTGTCATTGTAAATTGTTTTTAACTGTGGTTTTTGAAAACCATATAATGAACGTCAATTGCTTCTTCATAGACCCGTGTCAATAACACAGGTGTAATGAAAAGCGGATAACAGATTATAATAATTAAGATATTAAATAATACATAAAGCCCTAGTATAAATTGACCTTTTGATTACATTTGTTCAACCACTGTAGAAATAAGGATGTACGCTGATTTTATGTGTTTATTTTATATAGTGCCTATATTCTTAAATAAAAAATGCTATTTAAAGAAAAAGGCATTCAGCAGCACAAGTTAAAGTTAATTCTAACCCAGACTATTGAACTTCCTTAAACAAAATTATCTGAATTTTGTAAGACTCAGATCTGATTATCCCTTTTGAACAAATCGTTATAGTCAGGAATGTTTGGAGAAAAAGCTGATTATTTAAATAAGATATGGAAACATTGATATATACAGTTAGAAACACACAGAGAAACACTTGTTCCAGGCTTTTTCAAGTTGTTTCTTTTTGTTTACTGTTTCTGGTGATGCCAGCTAGATTTGAAAAACTGAGGCAGCCATCAGTTAGAAGAATGTTAGGGGGAATCAGCCACATCTGGCCAGAAGCAGTGAGTATTATGCATTAGTCAGATGTGAAGTTTCTTACCCACTAAAAAATTCATTGCAGTCCACAAGGATAAGGCCATCTGTGCCATAGTTCTGATACTGAGTCACACTGGTGAGACACTTCAAGAGGCAAAAAAGGCATAACAGGTTTAAGTGCATACTATATTACCTTTTCCCAAAATTACATGTATGCATGATGCTTAGCATTTAGAAATGCAAGTTTTATCTGGATCATAGGTTGGTAGAAAAGTGAATGCACTTTAAGATTATCTTGTATCAAATGATTCCCGTTTTCATTCCAGATTCTGACCCAGGAAGACTGGAATAAAGTCCTCTACAATGGCATGGCTTCTACCTCTTCCTGGGCCGCTCTTTACTTCATAGCCCTCATGACGTTTGGAAATTACGTTCTCTTTAATTTGTTGGTTGCTATCTTGGTGGAAGGCTTTCAGACGGAGGTAAAGCCTTGAAGGACTTCTTTGATTTCTCTTTGATAAAGAGAGTGTGGAGGGTTCAGAACCCCTGTTTGTAAAATGATTAGAATTTCCAAAAGAAGCAATTGCTTCGTTAGAAAGACAGATCCTTTGGTTGGTATCAAAGACCCAGCTTCAAGTGTTGTGAAAGAGCACACGATCACGCAAACACATTGCCTTTGAACCCAGCTTTGTTGCATTTAAGAGCCAAATGCAAAACTGCCTGATAAATATGCATGAGATGAGTGAGCCCATTGTCCTGCTATGTCTTTGTAGACATTTTCCTGCCTCCATAAAAGCAACGTTTTGGCATCTTTTATTTATTCTATTTTTGCCTGCCCCTTTTTGGATTGAAGCTACATCTTTCATTAACTAGAGTCCACCTTTGCCATCATTGCCAGCAGCTGAAAGAAAGACATTTGAACTGAATTTGGGGTGGTTTCTGCTTTTCAAGGCAGCCTAGAAATATTTTAGATAAATAAGATCAAGAAACTTGGCCTCTGCAATTTTACTGGCAAGCTAGTGTGTCTGCATCTTGCAAAGGCTAGGAACAATCAAGCACTGGAATGGTTTGCCTTCAGAAATTGTGGGTGCCCCACTGGAGGCTTTCAAGAAGAGACTCGACAGTCAGTTTGAAATGGTATAGGATCTCCTGCTCAAGCAGGGTGGTTGGACAAGGTGACCTTGAAGTCCCTAACAACACTGCTCTGTTCTTTCTGCATATTTTGGGAGGCAGCCAGCCTTCAAGCAATAAAATGTCAAAATGCTGTTGCGGGTCTCAAGGTGGCAGTATTCAACACAACCTCCAAGCATAGGTAGCACGCCTGGGATTATTCAGTAGCATCTTGACATGGGCTTCTAAATCAAAATGATGTTGATAGTGTGAGTTTGTTGCCTACTTCTCTTTTGATCCTGTTCATTTACAGCATAAGAAAAACATTTTAGAAAACCTCCAGAGTTTTTATTTATTTGCATCATAACATGGTATAGGAAGATTTATGGAAGCCTCTTAGGACAAAGTAACCATGAACTCTCTGTTTGCTTAATCTTACCGTGTTTCTCACAAAATAAGGCCGGGCCTTATTTTTTTTTTTGACCCCCGAAAAAATGACTAGGCCGTCTTTTCAGGGGTGACTTAATTCCCCCCCTTTGCATCCTCGGGCAGGCGGGCGGCAACGGCTTGGATATTGACCTCGGCGTTGGTGGGGCACTTCATATCAGGAGACCTTCCGCCACCGTTGCTTTCCTTTCTCCCTGTGCTGCCGCAGCATTTAGAGCAACGCCGCGGCGTTTGGCACAGCCAGGCGCGGACAGCCAGGGCTCCTCCTTGCAACCGGAGCCCTATGGAGACACTCAGCTTCAGGCGCTCCTGTCGCCGCCTTCCCTTTGCCTTCAAAGGCAAAGCCAATTCTTTTAAAAACGACGCCCTACTACTGATACAACAAAGCCTCCCCTGCCTGAGAGGGCAGCCCAATCCCACGTGGGGAGGTGAATCTCCTGGGGCCACAGCGCAGGATCAGCCCACCCCAGGAGAAGCGCACAGCAGCCATCCCTGCCTGGCGCCGGGCAGAGCGTGAAGAGCATTGCCTGGGGCGCCCAGCGCAGCTGACAGGTGGGCCCTCCTGCCTGGTGGCGGAGCTCTCACCAAGGCAGTGAGCGCCTCCCTGCTGGACCCTCCACTCATCCCACCTGGGCCGCACCAGCCGTGCGGACTGGGCAGAGCCGGGAAAGCGAGCTGCAGGTGAGCGCCTGCCTGCCAAGCGAAAGAGCCGGGCCAACCCGAGTTTGGCAGGATGAGAGGAGGGCCCGGCAGGGAGACGCTCGCTGCCTTGGTGAGAGCTCTGCCACTGGGCAGGAGGGCCCGCCTGTCAGCTGTGCTGGGCGCCCCAGGTGAAGCTCTTCATGCTCTGCCCAGCGCCAGGCAGGCATGGCGGCTGGGTGTTTCTCCCAGGGTGAGCCGATCCTGCGCTGTGGCCCCAGGAGATTCGCCTCCCCACGTGAGGTTGGGCTGCCCTCTCGGGCAGGGGAGGCTTTGTCGTACCGGTAGTAGGGCATCGTTTTTAAAAGAATTGGCTTTGCTTTCGAAGGCGAAGGGAAGGCGGCGACAGGAGCCCCTGAAGCCGAGTGTCTCTGTCGGGCTCCGGTTGCAGGGAGGAGCCCTGGCTGGCCGCGCCAAATGCCAGCAGCATGGGGAGAAGGGAAAGCAACGGTGACGGAAGTCTCCCGATATGAAGTGCCCCACCAATGCCGAAGTCAACGCAGGCAGCACCATATCCAGGTATGTAACAAAAGTACTTACTAACGTCAAGCCCCCCTGCCATTCCCCCCCCATTTCGCATGTTTAATATAGGCCTTAATTTGGGGGGAGGGGCTTAATTTGATTTTATGCCTATAAAACATGCTGGGACTTCCTATTGGGGGAGGCCGTATTGTTGGAGAAACACGGTATCTTATTTGCTCTATTTTGTTTAAGTTCCTTGTACTTGGCTCTCTGCTTGGGCCTCCAGGTCTTAGCTATTTTTTTCTCTGAGATAATATCAGAAGGAAGGGATACTGTGCCAATCCCACTGAGTCGTCAGAGGTTTGGGTAGTCCTTGGTGCCGTCTGAGCTTGGTTGATTGCTTGTTGACATGTCATTAACTGGCTAGTGCTAGAAGAGAGTGGGCTTTGCTCTCTGTTTATATACAGTAGCTTGCCCTGTCTGTTGGTTGGATGTAATGTTTTTTCCTTGGTAGTTCGTTGATTAGGCTGTTGTTTACTGCTTGATTGCTTGTCTGAGTTGGTAATTCTTTGATTAGGGTAATGTTTACTACCTGATTGTTTGTCTGGCATTGCTCCTACTGTTAATTCCTGCTTTATCTGGATATTGATAGCTGCTGAGGAGGTATTCTGGTTTAATGGGGTTTTTTAAGCTTTTTTGTTATCTCTTTTGAATGGTTTGTAAATGTTATTTATCTCTATGTGCCTGTTGATGACTGATTCATCTGAGTGCCAAGCTTCCAGGAATTCCTTAGCATTTGGGGATTTAACTTAGCCTAAAGTGCTGACAGTTCATTCCTTAAGTTGAAATCTGAGTCTAGGACTTCATAGTTTAACCCTTTGCTGCATTTATTTTCTTCTATTAGTCAAAGGTTTCTTTTAAAGGACCAGGTGTAGCAGCAAAACCACAACTGCCTTTTGGCTATTATCAGATGATTAATGGGGTGAATCTTAGCCTATCTAATTTAAATTACACAATAAATAAAATATTTATCTAACCTGTCTAGTTCTCTCGCTGTCAATGATCACTTTGCTCTGAATGTTTGGACAGTAATATGGTTCCCCATGTCCAAATCAGAAAGTTGAATGTCACCTAATGTGAATTGGCACAGCTATGTAATGAGCCAAAACATCCCCTAAAACAAATTTTGGACCTGTTGTTATTTTTGATTAATGTCACATGTCAATCTTTGAAAAAGGATTGAAATCAAATTTGGAGACTGGGTTTGTCAGATCTTCAAGATAGACCAGAAATGGCATGGTAGGGATTCCAAAAAATATTTGGCTGTAACGTAGAATAACAGAATCTTGAAATCTTGTCAGGATTTCTCTTTCCCATCAAAGAAAACCAAGGTGGGGTGAGCTTCTTCTTCATGTCACCCTTTTTCTCCAGGCTGAGTAATCTTTTCTGAAATTTTGCTCACCAGCTCCTCCACGTTTTAATGATTCTCTCATTCCTTCTCAATCCCAAGGTCCGATGTACATGCCTTCACAGGACCATATATTCCATATACTATGCACTGCAAAAAATAGTCATAATGGTCTTTCCAAGAAGGAAAAATTCTTTTGTCTGCCACAGTAATCTTTTAAAAGTCAACAAAATTTTTATTTTTCAAGTCCCTTCCTACCCACTTCTCCTCTACAATCTCATTTCAATGCTGGTGACAGTTTTATCTTGTACCCTCAAGGGTCGTTTCTTGACTCTGAAAACACTTTCGTTAATTTTAGTCTAAGAATGTACTGGACCTTTCTGTTGCTAAGCAGTAGACATGTATACAAAATACTGGGCCTATTCTTAATATGCATGTGCACATGTCTGCAGTATAAAGCTCTTGAAAACTTGGCCCTAGCTGATGCTTCACGTTATGTGTGCAGAGGGCACATTGCTAGCAGTATCTCAGCGGGACTTTATTTTCACTGGACCTTCTGCGTGTTATTCTTTTATATTGCATAAAATAGGCTATGCAAGGGGAGGGCTCAGTTTGATAAAGCCCCTATATAATACAAAAATGACAGAGTGAGCTGTTAGATTTGTGCCCTGGAGACTTTATCTAAGAAAGAAACATAGGATACCAGCGAGAGAACCTTCTATCAGCGATAAAGCTATTCTCCTGGGGGACTACATGATAACATTATCTGTGGAACGTATTTTTTTTATTGGCAATCCTTTCATGTTCCCTACAGATTCTGTGCTTGTCTTTGAAAATTCCTAGTTTATCTCCTGTTTCTCTTTTTTGTTGCTTTTTTGTCTCCTAGTACAAAGCAACTAGTAAGGAATGATGGCAGGTGTCAGCACCTCCAATCTGATACTTTCCATATTATGTTGGACTTCAGCTCCTTTTGTCTCCAACCAGCACCATGCTGGCTATCCATTTCTGGGAGCTACAGCCAAACATCTATCTGGGCAGTACTAGAATGGGGAAAGCCAGCTAAAACAACAGGATGTCAAAGACGAAGCAAGAAAATGATTTGCTTGACCCAACTTCACTCAACACTCAGTAACATTTTTTAAAGAAAGTCCCTGGTCATATCTTGGACTTCAATGTAGTTCTGATGTTTTACTTTTTCTGACACACAAACACATTTCTACACAGCAGTTAAAAAAGACATGAAATGGATTTCACAGTTCAGACAATCACATTTTAGATTGACTTCCACTTCTTCATTCCTCCCTTTCTGCAAATTAGCAGCCTACCAAAAAATCCTCCATTAACAACAGTTTCCCATTTTGTCATTAACAGTAAGGTAGCAGAGTAAGAAAGAAATATAGTAGGAAAGTAGTACAGCATATCAGCAGTATTACGTCTTTTGGTTGTTGTTGTTGCTCTAAAGTTGTTATTTATAGATTCCTGGTTTGGACATTAATATTAATTGAAAAGTTCTTACTTTGCTTATTATGATCTTATTGAATGGTGTGATCAAAAGGGCTATTTGAAAGATGTTTTTATTTCACCGTGGAACCTGAAATACGGTTGTCCAAATTATTCTAATAGATCTTATTTTTTTGCTGCTTAAGTGCAAAATTTAGCCGACTGCTCTTTTTCAATAGTTTTCATCCACAAGGTGAGTTAGTCTTTCTAGGGGTGTTAGGCTTTCTTTGAACCTAGAGCTCAGCTTTTTCACCCTCAAATAAAAAAAAATGGTCATCTTGAACTGAATAAAAAGGTAAGATAATTAATTAGATATATAAATAAATAAATAAATAATGGGCAGTAGCACACTAGAATTGAACTCCACTGTCGCACCCATCGTCAGCCATCTCTGAAAAGAGATAACAAAGTAAAAAATTATCGAAACTGTCCATTTGTACAGCAAAATATGGCTGACTTAACAAGTATGGTGCTCACTTGATGTTCCAAAGTGCTTTTTGTCTTCATCTAAGAAATGCAGACTTGAAGTACAGCCAGAATAATTAATCCAATTCCTTAAATCAAAGAGGGGATCGATATTTTCAGTTTCCAGAAACAGAAAATGTTTTTATTGTGATTTTTTTATATATAGTGTTTTTTATATTTGTCTTCTCCTAGGAACTGAAAGACACTTTTTTCCTTCCCCAATCAGATTCTGATTAGAAATTCTGTCTCTAACTGTAATCTCACATGTCTCAAGGGCATTAAGTTGGAAAAGGCTGCTATGCCTTTATTTTTAAAAGTAATTGTCAGATGGATGACTATTAAATAACTGCAAATGTATTTGATTTGTTAAAACTCCTAAAGCATGACATGCTGTATAAAAATGGAATTCTACCAATGATTCTGCCAAATATAATTGGAGCATACTTAAAGTAAAACCCATTTATCATCTTTAATCCACAAGAGTTTGTCTTAATATAGGAGCCATGGTGGTGCAGTGGTTAGAATGCAGTATTTCAGGCTAACTCTGCTTACTGCCAGAAGTTCAATCCTGATTGGGCTCAAGGTTCACTGAGACTTCCATCCTTCCAAGGTCGATAAAATGAGAAGCCAGATTGTTGGGGGGCAATTTGCTGACTGTAAACCACTCAGAGAGTGCTGTAAAGCACTGTGGAGTGGTATATAAGCCTAAGTGCTATTGCTATTATATTAATATAAATGGTTTTTTATAATTTTGAATTATTGCTACAATGTTTTTAGTTTAAAGTCCTTGTAGATTAATGTTCCTTGTTAATAACAAAGCATGTGGAATCTTCATTTGAATGATCAGTAAGCAGGTACTTTACTCTGTCTATACATCTGCAACTTTTAGCAAAGGGTAGTATTTGGCTAACCTTGCCTGTTCAATCAGAAGCTAAGCAAAACTCCACTTGGTTTGTACTTGAATGTAAGACCAGCAGAAAATCCCAGGGTTGCAGCCAAGGTTTAGAAATTTTTAAAAGTCCCCAAAGATAGTAAGGTACTATCCTTACTCCTGTACTATTGCAAAAAAAAAAAAAAAAAATGCCCAAATTTATATCTAGGTAGCTATCAGGTTCTACATTTGTCTTGGGATCTTTACCATCACAAGACAAACTGTAAACAATTAGTGGCATCTTAAGCTGCATAGGGAGGGAAAAACTAGGCTACATGATTGAACATATTTTTAACCAACTCTAAGTTATGGAGAAATGTTGTTTAAACACTACAACTTTGTAAAGATCCTCTTGTCTCCTTTTATCATATCTCTTTGGTTGTTGCAGAGGGAAACAACAAATTTTGAACATAGTTTTAACAGATGTTCACATATAAGCCATAAATATGAACAGAGCTCTTAATTTAAAGATCTGGATTATGTATCCATAAATGTCTTCTCAAGAGCTTGAATCAGTGGTATTCAGAACTGAATTTGGTTACATCAGACAACTCAAGGGTGGTATAACTTCTCCATGGTACAAAATTTACTGCAATGGGTACCTTCCCCTTCTCTCCCATTCCTATTAATATTCTCCCCCCCCCCCCAATATGTTTATTACCCTTTTATCCACTCTCTCAATTTTGATGTTAAGATTTATACAATTTGAAAAATCCACCTTCCTTCCTGCCTTCCTTCCATCCCCTCACCTTCCTTCCTCATTTTTACTTCAGGAAATCACCAAACGGGAAGCAGCGAGTAGGCAGTTAAGCTGTATTCAGCTGCCTGTCGACTCGTCAGTGGTACGTAAAATCTGGCATGAACACCACAAGCTTTGTCTGATAGTTTTCTCTCCCTCAATCTCTCTCTCTCTCTCTGCCTGTCTCTCTGTCTCTGTGTTGTGAGCAGTCACATCATTGCCACTGTTCTCATTACGATAGATGTTTGGTTATGAATTTGTTCTCATTGTCAAGTTGCTCTTGATTTTAAGTCTCTTCCTTCTTTGAGGGAATTAAGAGATTATCTCTCCAATGAGCGAAAACCTCTTTTAGACTCCTATTTATTAAGAATCCTTTCCATAAACTTTAGTCCCCCTACCAACATTTCCAAAAGAGGAAGATCTTGAACTTCCTACCAACTTAGAAGCCTAGCAATGAACCATTGCCCTTTACAGATGGATCCTCACAGATGGATAGAAATACTTGCCGCTTGCTGTAACTTTTGTTTGGATTGGGCAAGATAATTGATCGTTACTTACATCTACCTATTAATATGCACTGATATTTAATGAATATAGGTTCTAATTTTGGGAGACAGAGTATTATTGTTTTAGCTGTCTCAGTTGTGTTACCAACAACAAAGGAATATGAATGTAGGCCCAGAATTCATTCAGGTCAGTAAGAAACTTGCCCATATGTCCAACATGAATTCTAAGAAAATAAAAAAGCATATAGTTGCACACCATAATCTCCCTTATAGACATACCTTACTAATTGTCATTTAACCCTTTTACATTCCAATGCTGACTCTCTTTTAAAAATGAGAGAGAAAAAGGGAGAGAGACAGAGACACTACGAAAACGTCTCAAAGACAGACGGGACCTAAAATCAAGCATGCTTTGTGGATGTTCATATGTGAGAAGACTCTGTCCTGAAAAAGGCCATTCTAGAATAGAGGCAGCTACTGACAGCATATATAATACATAATTAGAGACCTTAGGGGATTTTTTTTTATGGCTGGAGGTTAGAAAAAAGGGTACATAGGAGAGGTCAGGAAAAAAAGAGGAATACAAATCGTTCTTAAGGGATTTATAAAATGTTGGTAGAATATTGTTACAGTCTTTTAAAAGTGAATAAAAAAGACAACATACTCGTGTATGCATCAGATATTGACATCATGCAAATCTACTCCCCTGCCTTAGATCTGTGAAATCAAGCACATCACAAATTCTGTTATCCTTGCCATTGCCTTGTTCTATTATAAGTCTGTCCTTCCCTATTTTTCTCAGTTTCTTCTGGTATTGGAAGTTGGGGCTTCTGTTTAGATCCTTTTTTTGACTGCCCAGCTTTCTCCAACCTGATGCTTTCCAGAGATATTGAAACTACACAATCCTCTGGCCAGCATGGTGCATACTTCTGGAGAGCACCAGAGTCAGGACAGCTGTTATAGCCATAGGCTGCCTTCCCTACATACTGGTCAGTTCCTGGCACATCTCATGCTTATCGTGAACAAACTATACCTTTGTTCACCTAATGCCTTTTTCATTCAGAAAGGCAAATTAGGTGTGAAAAAACAGGTAATTTATTCAGGAACCTAGGTGTGTAAGGCTTGCCTGTGGTAAATTAGTGTGCTTCGCATTTTCAAGATGCTGTTGGATTCTATGGCAGGATGATGTAAAAAAAATGGGTTTGGTGCTGAAGGGAGGGAGGTTAAAATACACTGGCACTTGTATTAAATATCACATCAAACTGTCACCTAATAACTAAAAAACCTGTTTGGAACACAGACTAAAAAAAATGAAGAAAAAAAAAGCATATTGAATTCCATTTTTGCCAATTGCAATGTTATTGAAAGGCTTTTATGCAGACTCCCTTATTTTAAAGTAAGGATGATTTTACTGACCAGAATCGGTAATGCTTTTTGAGTTTTTTAACGAGCATTATCTTCAAACATTTGTGAAGGTACTTTTTGTGATATGGACCCAGGATCATTTTGCATGATTTGTAATATAATATACATATATTTAATTTGCATGTTTAATAAAAACTGTAAAGGCACAGGTCTGCACAGGCATTTTTCTCACATTCACGCAATCCTTTTTAAGTCAGATTTGAATTGCAGGAAAAGTTTGTTGACAGGATACAGTCCTTCATGTGGGCATTCTAAATTCTCCAGGCTTAAAGCCAATCCATTACCCATTAGATTTTGAAGCATATGAACAGAGATAATATTTTGGAAATATTTTTATTTTGTTATGAAATTTATTTACTGCCCATCTTGTGTCAAATGACTTTGGGTGGCTTACAGCATAAATATTTAATTAAGATTGCAATTTAGCTCAAGTTAATCATTATTGAGAAAATGAGCTCAAATGCACTGTCTCAATAAAGAGAAATGGGCAGCTATGTCACAACCGCATTATGAATTCAGAGGATCATTCTCAAGGGCCCATTTCCATTATGACTTTTAAGCAACACAAAATAAATAAAGACCATCCCTTACATTGGACTCAATTATTTTGGTATAAGGGATCAGTTAATCATGAAAGACTGAAATGCTACACTTAATATGCATTAGGGCAACCACTAAGAGAAAATTACTTTATCTTTTTTTTATACTGTACTTATACTGCTTTATGAAGAAATATGGGTAAGACCTAACAGAATTTCTAATGAATTAATCCATGAGCTGCACATGTGAATTCATTACTGCTTTTAGTCTTATTTTAGCATTAAAAGAAGCAGATGACTTCTAATATGTTGATTGGGAAAATATCCAAAGAAAGCGACATCAACTTAACTCTAGTCAGAATAGAAATCTAGTCAAAAGTTCATCTTAATTGAGTGCTCTGTATTCTTCAGAAGCATTTTTTACTGGCCCCACCTACCATGAAGTCAGGCAATCAAAATTTGCTTCGAATAGTTTTACTTTAACCCTCAAAAACAGGATTCTTTCCTGTTGGAAGGAGCCCAAGGATGTGCATGCTGGCTTCATTGCCTTGTCCCTGACCTCTAAGTGTTAGTGGGGAAGATTTGAGTGGAAACTGGTGGAATCATGTTTGAATGAATTCAAATACAATTCACTGGATGTCAAATGCAAGGAAGATCCCTGTCATTTAGGGGATTTTCTTTCAAGCCTTCATGGTCAGCAGCCAAACCCAAATGGACCATCGTGCAGAACTCATGTTCTTTCCCTGTTTTATGTTTTCCAAGGGCTGAATAGGGATAGAAAGGTGCAGGGTTTCCTATTTGTGAGTTCCCTGTGCTTAGATTCAAGATACATCTTTAAAAAGTCCACAGCTTGATTGGAGAGAAATGCCTTGCAGATATGTTTATCTACGTAGATACACAAGCACACATTTAACCGGAAAAATAAAGGTCAGTACATTGATGATGTCACCTGGATGCTAATCAGGCTAAATTTTCAATTAATTTCAAAAGTCTGCTATTGAACATTATCCTCCCAACCAAACCCCTTCCACTTTTCAAGTTTTTTCAAGCATCAAGTGCCATCATGGTGAGCTAAAGCTTTTTAGTACAGCAGCATGGATCTTGTTGTATTTTGCTGGGCTAATTGCCTTTCTTTCCTGATTTCATAAGGTTGTGTGTATGTGTGTGTGTTATCACCTATTTATTTCTTCTGTTGACTGTCTTTATGAAGCTATCTTGGGTCAGAATTGCCAAAAAAGCAGCCTTCAGTCCTTCTGAGCTATCCTATTCCTGGTCCATATAATAGGTTATTAAATTACATTAAGCCACGACTGCTTAATTGTAGTTTCCTCAATAAACCAAAGTTAACTGAATTCAAATACCATAGTTAGTCATTAATCATGGCTTATAAGCTACAGTGCTTATTCACAAAACACATTAAACCAAAACCAAACCAAATGTGACTTAGTGCAGTGCGTTAATATATATATATCCCTATTATCATTTGATTAGCCCAGAGATGGGGTCCAAAATGGTAATAGTGCTTGGTTTAAAAACGAGGTCAAAAAAGGAAATTAAGGAGACAAAGACAATTACCATTGAACATTAAAAAAATTCTAGGATAACCCTCTAGTAGAAAAAGGTCTTATGAATTGCATTATCATTTGATAAAAGAACCTTGACAGTATGGTGAATGGCCATTATTTGCAGACCGTTGGTTCTGATTTCACTGTCAGAAGCCAAAAATTATTTTTGAGGGACAGCCCTTCAATTCATCCTAATGACTGGATGAATTAAATCAAGGACAGGCCCAGCCGCAAAATACCTGTTCCCCCAAATCATATTACTAAAATAGATGCCTACTTCAGATTTCATCCTTCTCAACCAGATCTCTGATTAACCAATTTCAAGAGGTAAAAGTTAGGGTGTTGTAGGAAACTGCAGTGGTTCTGTGGATTGTGGGCGGGGGGATTGATCCCTGCCTTGTTCCTTTCAACTATTCAGATGAATGGTTCTGTATTTTATAGGAATCGATCTGAAAAGTATATGCAGTACATTTTGATTCAAGGCTGCATTCAACTGACTATAATTTCTGCCTTCTCCCCCACCTTCATTTAGTCAATATAAAAACCAAGACATACTTTCAGATGTCTGGTTAAAACTATTGTGATTGGGCTAAATTATTGATAAGAGTAGAAGGAGTGATAAATGCCTGGGAATTAAGATGTGTAGAGATTCCTTTGAAGACCTCAGGGAAGGGGAAGGAATATTAGAAGCCTGGGAGTTGACTACGCTTCCAGGCCGAGTGCCTCGCAAAATGAGGTTAAACCAATTGTTTTTGCTTCTCTCAAGTCTTTAGATGCTTTAGCGCCCCTTTCCAAAAGTGTATTGTGTAGTGAAACTGGACTACAGATGTGGAATTCAATATTTGCATGCCTCCTATTGTGGAAGGTGGTGTCCTACTGTGGCAACAGTTCAGTGGAGCAGTGATTCTTGTGTCTGAGGGGGAGAAAGAGTTCTCTTATTCAGGTGGGGAATGGCCAGGTAACTTATCCTATTTTTCCTGCTGGCTAAGGCACTTTGTTTTTCTCTAGGGGGATGCTACTAAGTCAGATTCTGAGGGGGAACTTTTCCCCCATAGTTTGGAAGAAGAGTGTGGACTTAAGAAAAATTTTTCAAATCCAGCTTGTAAGTAACAATATGATTACTGCTGTTTTTCCTGCAAAGAAAAGTTTTCATTTGTTACATGAAACTTCATGTATTTTTATTTTCTTGGCTATAAAGTATAAAAAGGCAGAAAAATAGGAAATACATTAACTTTCTTTAGTATGCCTTTGATTATTCATTATATGTTGGTATCAACTTTTAGCAGTCACAAAAATAGTTTCTCTCAGGACTGTCTACATATCTCCAACCTGGTCCTTCAAGTCTTCCAGAGATAACACCCATAATCACCATAACTGAGTCCATCCAGCTTGCTGCTGGTTGTCCTCTTCTTCTCTTTCCTCCCACCTTCCCCATCGTTAGAGCCTTTTCCAGAGAGTTCAGCCCTTCTAAAATGTCTCAAAAGTGCTTTTTTTTTTCTTCAAAAGGCAACTGGGATGTTTTCTCCTTCAGGAAGAAGAAGAAAATGTTTTGCTTCCCACTAGAAACTTCATCAGTTCTGGTGTGGGTGGGATGATGAAGCTTCTTGGATGAGAAGCAAAACGTTTTCTTCTTTCTCCTCAAGGGAAAAAAAAAGTTGAGTTGCCTTTTAAAGAAGAAAAAAACACCTTTGAGGCAATGACTGGATGACTGAGAATCTCCACAGACATCTTTATATAAGGTGTCTGAATTAATTTCTTTAGGAATATCTAGATGGACTGCAAAAATCTGATTCATCATTAGAAGGCAGCAAAGGAGTTGAGATGCCTCTATTACTATCTAGGGGCAAAATCTACCAGATTTTTGGTAGTGCATATCCAGTAGCTGTAGTAGTAGTAGTAGTAGTAGTAGTAGTAGTAGTAGTAGTAGTAGTAAGTGTGTGTGTATGTTTGTTTGTTTGTTTATAGCTTCAGGTAATAGGAGTAAGAAATGTCTTGAGAAAGATTCTCTTCAATGGAGGAACTCAACAACGAGAGGGGAGCATGGCATAATGTTGATAATTTTGAATATGATGTATGGCTCATCATACCATGTAAAGCTCATATTTGGGACAAAAACCTCTCTATGATAAAAAGTGAAGAGAAAAGATTGCTCTGAGTGTATCTTAAGAATGAAAAATCTATGGCCATCATAGGTTAAAACTCATTAAATCCTGACTTCTGTGATAGAAAAGCAATAGTGGTTGCAGTTCAAGAACAACAAGGAGACCATTTCTAGAACACCTCTGCTAAATGGGATTGCTGTTCATCTGGCATACTACAGAGAGGAAACTGGCTTTGGTAGTATCTTAAAGTAAGAGTAGGAAAAAGGGTGGTTGGTTATTCATGAGTATTCATTCATGGGAAAAGGACCAGAGAACCTGGAAAATGAAGTTTTTAGTGTCTTGTATTAGAAAATTAAGAGACAAAAGAAAGAGGAATAATCAAGACACGTATGAAAGTTATCCTGATCTTGTCTCTGACTATATAGGGCATGATACGAATGTTTTGTTTCTTATTTTTTTCAGTGATGGCTCTTTGTGACCGTCCAGAGCTAAAGAAGAGCTTGACTCCCCCACTTATCATTCATACGGCTGCTACACCCATGTCCATGCCAAAAAGTGCCATCTATGGAGAAGTGGCTCAGGACTATGGTTCCCGAAGAGCCAGTGGCATCTCCATGGATCCTAATACATTTGATCTCAAATCCCCGGTATGTGGCTCACCTTCTCCCTTGTATCCTTTGCTTCTCACCCTTTGCTCCCAGTTTGACAGCATATTTTAAAATTAATTTGGATGCCTTTTTAAGCACTGTTAACTGAGCTATTGCTTCTAGCATTCTGTTGATATCCCTCATTGCATCACTTCAGGTCAGTGCCCGGAGTTCTCCACATAGCCCATGGAGTGCAGGAAGTAGCTGGAACAGCCGCAGGTCGAGCTGGAACAGCATTGGGCGGGCACCTAGCTTGAAACGCCGTACAAACCAGAGCAGTGAGCATAAATCGCTTTTGTCAGGGAAGCAGAGTTCAGAGGAAGGGGAAAGCTCGGACGAAGAGCAATCCAGCAGGACTGGGAGCATCAATGGCTCTATACCTCACCGCATGGAGTCACTAGAAACCAAAGGCTCCTTTGACTTCCAAGATACCCTGCAGGTGCCTTCTCTTTACCGGACCAGTAGCATCCATAGTAGCCACAGCTCTGCAGCAGACTACAATGGCAAAGCCACCTCAAGAGTCCTGATTCAACAGCTTCATTTGGACGATCCGCTCCCAGAATGCGATGACTTGGATGATGAAGGCAATTTAGTAAGTGAGAGCCAGCTTACTTGGCACCTTTTTTGCTTGTGTTTGGATTGTTTGCTGTAGAAGAGAGTGAAATGTTTTGATCCTTGTTAATTTGCAGAAGCATAACATATGCCAATATATTCTTATCTTTTGGGCACTGACATATTTATTCATTAATAAATAACTGAACCATGTAAGCTAGAGAAATCCCAGGGATCATAACTTTAACATGCCCATAAGAGATTGTGTCATGTCATCATATCATGTCACATAAATGTATCACAGTGTATAATAATATATCATTATTGGCAGAGGTGACACAAATACTTAAACTTAAGTGGTCATTTGGCCAAAAATATCCAGAAGTTCTATATCGGGGTGTCAAATTCAAGGTCCACAGGCTGGATCTGGCCTGCGGGGTGCTTAGATCTAGCCTGTGGGCCTGGAGACAGCTAAGGGCCAGCCCGCAGTGCCTCTGCCAGCAAAAACGGAGCTTGGAAGGGCTGCAAGCAGCTCTCCTGAGCTCCATTTTTGCTGGTAGAAGGCTGCAGGAGACCATTGCAGGCTAAAACAGAGCTCGGGAGTTCGTTTTCGCTGGTGGAAAAGCCACCACAGGCACCCCCAACATGAGTGATGTTGAGCTGGCCATGCCCCCTAGCCACACCCTCTTGGCTCACCAGAGGTCAAACACAACTCTGATGTGGCCCTCAATGAAATCGAGTTGACACCCCTGTTCTATATGATTCCAACTTCCTTCCTTTTTTTCTTTACTCTAGCTCTCCCCTCATTATCACATAATCTTCATATATCGTCTTCTTGAATCAGTATCTCCCATGAATTCCAGAACATTGTCTTTGAGATGGCCTACTAGGTAATTACACACACAAAAAAAATCAAATTTGGACCTAAATCAATGAGATGCTGGCAATGCCTCTGTTTCCACTCTGTTCCCCTCAGTTTTACTGTGTGCTAGATATTCTGGACTTCAATCACCACAATCTCCAGCCAGCATGGCTAAAATATTATGGACTATGAATTCAATTCACATGCAAGATGCCAACTAGGGGGAAAAACAGTTGTAGGGGAGAAGAAGATGAGATCCAGTAACATTTGGATACCAGCTTTGGGAAACCAGTTGTCATAGACATGATATTATGATAGCTAGTTCCCCAAAGCCAGTATCCAAATGTTATGGATAAAGAGGAGAATTATAAATCTTCTGTATCATATCAATCATCTGGGTAGATTTCATGCCACCTTCAGCCATCCTTATGCTAAGGAGCACGGTAGTCATGTAAGAAAACCTGTGCTCAAGATGATCCATGATATATTCAGTTCCAAGTACTGCTGATTTGGAGTGAGGATATTTTAATATGCACCATCTTATGAAAGCTTGTGAGGATTCTTCTTAGATATATTTGGCAAATGAGCAAGCAAATAAATAGCTAAATATGCGCTATGGCTTGCAAGAAAGAGGGTGATCAGCTGGGTATCTGAGGTTCTTACATACAGATGTGTACATATACACATCTTTTTCAGTTTCCCTTTCCTGCTTTCATTGGAAAGTAAGGAGAATGGTATATTGACCAATGCATTGCCGGACACAACCATTTTCTGCCTTATTCCAGTTGTGAGCTTGAAAAAAAAATTTTTTTATAATCAGAGCTAGCCCTGGTTACAGTTTGGCCTGAGCAAAGGATAAAATAATCCAGAAAAGCAACCTATATTAGTTATTAAAACTTATTTCATCACAGGAGAACATCTTCTACGGCAGCTAAAGGTTAAGGCCAGCTTAGGGCTACATATTGGATCTATGCTAGCTGTATCACTCTGCTTAACAGTACAGCTGTACAACAGAAATCTTGTTTCTTTGGGTGTGAGAGAGAATGCTCAGCCTTTTCCCCCAATCTTCTTTTTCGTGTCAGAACAGGAAGGAGGAGAGCAAACTCAGGCTCCATTAGCCCAAGAATCTGTGGTTTGTTTGCTAAATGATGTGAGAGCATCATTACCAGCATTAACTTGATTGCCTTCAGCAAGATATTCTTCACAAACACAGAAAGAGGTGGGGGGGGGGGTATTAGCCTTTCCCCCCCCCCCCCAAAGGACTATATAATCTCCTTAATTTCAAGTGGGTGATTTCTTCTACCATTAACTATTATTAAGATTCCTAAGTAAGGGCAAAAATTGGTTTCTTTGTCTCATGGGGCCACAGAAATCTTTGTATTAATGTCAATATAAAAAGGCAGTAGTCTCATTAATGATGTGTTTTTTTCTGAGCCAGTAAGACGACATTTAAGAAATGCTAGTTAACATCAGTAGGCATAGTACTAAAAATAAGAGAAAAAGTCACTGGCAATCTGAAACTGATAAAGATAAAGTTACATTAGCTTTACTTGACAGTAAATCTCTGCCATTTGTAGTGGGACACATTAAATTCCAGTGCTATTCAAGACAACAGAAAACCATCAGAGATGGTTATAAAGAAGCAAATTGCAAGACCAAAACCTACAGTTTAAATGTGACCAAGGGCAACTAGAGAGGTTGTACATGATACCCATTAGGAAGGAACCTGGTCTTCTATAAAAATCCTTGCGTAGCCCTGGCTCCTGGAATGGCAAGCGAGGACTGCATGACAGCACTATGCTAGATAATGATAGTAAATTAATTAGCCTCAAAAACAATTAAGGCTTGATGAAATTGAATCCAATCTGTCAAACTCCAATTCTACAACATCACATTTAAAAACAATGGTGAAGTGAGCAAGAATACAAGCTTTAAGTACAGAAAATGAACAGGCTGGAAGACTGTGCAGCCAATGCCAATGCAATCCTACGTTGCATTAACAGAGGGATGCAATCAAGATCAAGTGAGGTACTAATACCACTTTATAAAACCTTAATAAGACCACACCTAGAATACTGCATCCAGCTTTGGTCAGCACACTATAAAAAAGATGTTGAAACTCTATAAAAAAAGATGTTGTTGGGACTGAGGAGGGACCAAGGTAGACATGGCATTAATTACGCACTTTCATCATGCATAACAAAAGCAGTATGCACTAATGTTTTTGTTAGGTAAATACAGACTAAGTGGACTTTCTAAGAAGGACTCCATTGGTAAATGAAGTACAGCAAAAAGCTTCAAGACTATTCAGGCTTCCCTTCTTTTCCTGTTTATATTGCACAGTTAACAAATAAACTATAATCGTGCCAAATCTAGTAAGGCCCTGAAATATTCAGTAGCTGATTTTTCAGCCTTGTCATTTTTAAAAAACTATTTGACTTGTCTTCATCACTTGGTGGAGCAGCCCTAAAGGACTTGGAAAAGATATTCAAATTCCACAATGTGTTTACACCCATAAATATCAGCATTGTGCAAGCTACAAGGCTGATATTTGCTCCAGCAAGTGCTAGTCTATGATACATTTATTGACTGATTACTGATAGTTGATCAAAAAAGGCTGAATCTATTCACCACTTCAGTATCTTCATTATCTGTACTGTGGATGGACGCTCTACTTGTTGTCATTTGTTTTTAAATTTAGCCCCATTTTTCACTGTGCTCCTTGAATTTTATTATTAGGGCTTATAGATTATTTGCATTTTCAGCTATCAGTGTAGTATCATCAGCATAGAGTGGGTTATAGATTTTTCTTTTAAATATTTTATAACTACACTAACTTCTCTTAATACACATTTTTGCATATAGGTTGAATAAATAAGAGGCAAGTTTATGGTCTTGTTTCACTTCTTTGCCAACCTGGAGCCAGTCTGTTTCACCATGTAAAAAACCTGTACTGTAGCTTCCCAACCAGAAAAGGTGGTTGGTTGGTGGGACTGATGGACTGATTGATTGAATATTCTTGCTCAAAAATCATCATACAAAGCACAAAGAGTGAAAAAAATAACGCTTATTTTAAAAACAAGTCTTGTTTTATTGCAACGCTGGGAATTGTTTTCATTCCCAGCTGGAATTAATCTCAAACAGTCCCTCGAGATAAGCACCCACCTTTCTTTTCTGTGAAGTGCTGCTAATAACAGAAGTATCAAATGAACTAGGAAAAAAAACCAACTGAAGTACAAAGAGCTTCAAGAATGAATCTGAACCAAACGAACTACTTTGCTTCCTGTAAAGGTTTTGTCATCGTTGCCTGTCCTTTATACCTTATGGGAGGGGAAATCACCTCCCAGCCTTACTCTTGAGTCACCCCTTTTGTTTCAGCTGCTCTCGCCTTCTAGCAGCTCTGCGCACACACGCACTGGGAACAGGCTCTCCTGGGTCCTCTGCTTCGCTGCTGCCAAGCTCCGAAGGCTCCGGAGTCAGCAGCCAGATGGTCCTGGTCCCATCTCTGCACCGGACACAGGACCCTCGTCCGAGTCCTCTCCAGAATCCCTGACTGGTCCCCGTTCTTCCCCACTGTCCGATTCCGCTACTGGCTGCACCGGCTGCTGGTGAATCACAACAAGAACAAGAAGTTAGTAATAAAATGGTTGAAAACATTAGAACAACAAAACACTAAACTTATAAAGCCAATTTTTTAAAAAAATTGTCTTGCTACCTTTTTTGGAAGCAATGAGTGTGAGGTGGAGAGGAATTGTAATTTTAAATATACTACGATGTGACTACAATACAGAAAAAATGAGTGGCCCTTTCTTATAATTTAATAGTAACATATGGCATTATAAGACAGATAGTCTCTTAATTTGTAATACTGTAAATCATTAAAACTATTAAGATTAAAATCATTATCTTGAGCAGAACCCAGAAATCAATTAGTACCAGTTCGGATCAATATTGATACAGTATGATCTCCAAATAACACACTCAGGTGCAATATTTTGTACATCTAACCATCTGCTGTTCAGAGTTAGCCTTTTTAAGTACACAATAATCATATAGATATGATCAAACTAGGATTTAAAGAAAAATCAGATCAACTCAGTTAAAATTAAGTATGGCTGAACAGATACACTCCTGTCTATTTCACCCTCCCAGAAAATCAACATCAGTAAAATATCAAG